ATAAATGCATTAGAATTAAGGCTGATAATTTATTCTAGATTTTATTAGTTTTAATCTAATGTCCCGTTTAAGTTGCAAAACCATATTCCATTTAGTTGTCATGTCTTTTTAGGCTCATCTTTGCTACTAAACCTTCTTCATTTCATTATTTTTTTTTAAATAATTTTGGATATTTTGAACAGTACTTGAGTATTGTAGAAGGTTCCTCAACTGTCTCTAAATCTTTTTTCATGATGAGATTAGTGCTATGAGTTGGTGCTAGGAAGACCACAGAAGTAAAATAGCATTGTCATTACATCATATAAACTATACATATTGTCAACATGATTTATGACTTCGATGTTGCTATTCATGTGATAATTAAATAAACAGATGACAGTTGATCGAAGCCAGATTCTCACTGTTGGAGTGGGAGTTTACAGATCAGCGGGGAAAGAAGCTAGAATGACGCATGCAGTGATGGATTAGAGACATAATAATAAACTCAAGTTTAGCTGAATATAAATACAGATGGTTACATACAGAAATATTTATATATGTGTGTAAATAATTTTGGATATTTTGAACAGTACTTGGGTATTGTAGAAGGTTCCTCAACTGTCTCTAAATCTTTTTTCATGATGAGATTAGTGCTATGAGTTGATGCTAGGAAGGCCACAGAAGTAAAATAGCATTGTCATTACATCATATAAACTATACATATTGTCAACATGATTTATGACTTCGATGTTGCTATTCATGCGATAATTAAATAAACAGATGACAGTTGATCGAAGCCAGATTCTCACTGTTGGAGTGGGAGTTTACAGATCAGCGGGGAAAGAAGCTAGAATGATGCATGCAGTGATGGATTAGAGACATAATAATAAACTCAAGTTTAGCTGAATATAAATACAGATGGTTACATACAGAAATATTTATATATGTGTGTATATATGCAGGTTTGTACAAACACATGTAATTTTGCTCTGTTAGCAGAGAAAGTTAAAAACAAACAAACAAACATCTTGGCAAGGAACACATCTGGTACCCAGATCTTGTTTACCTCTGCCATCTTCCAATAAAATCTACTGGGGCTTCCTGTAGAAATACTTGCTTCTAAGACTAGGACTGACAACATACAAGCTGAGCATATAGCATCTTGCAATGCCAGAAAGTAAGAAAATGCCCAAATACACATATACATACACACAACACATACACACAGTGATAAGGAGTTATATAAAAGGAGTTCAATTGCTAAGTGAATGAGTCTGCATTGTTCAGCCAAGGCTGAAATAATGGGAACTATCTTAAAATAGTATTATGACACCAAGACTAAAATAAACATACGTGCAGGGCAGTAAAGGAGATGCAGACATAAAGAACAGACTTTTGGACTCAGTGGGAGAAGGAGAGGGTGGGATGATTTGTGAGAATAGCATTGAAACACATATATTTCCATATGGAAAACAGATAGCCAGTGGGAATTTGATGGATAATGCAGGGGACCAAAAGTTGGTGCTCTGTGATAACCTGGAGGGGTGGGACGGGGAGGGCGGTGGGGGACAGTTTAGGAGGGAGTCTGCTTATGGCCAATTCATGTTGATGTATGGCAAAAACCATCACAATATTGTAAAGTAATTATCATCCAATTAAAATAAATTAATCTAAAAATTAATATCCATAAAACAGTACACATATTAATTAATGCAATAGAAGAGGCAAATGTCCCAGACAGAACTATTCAAAATAATTTATGAAGACCTTCAATCCTTAGGTTAGGATAGTATGACTCCCCTTCCCAATTATGGACTGGACATAAGAATTTCCAAAATATATCATGTGGAAAATGAGTGAGTGACTCCACAGAGAAGAAACTTGGTAACTGAGGACAACAAGAAGTCACAAATTTTTTGGTATTTTGAATTACTTACTCCAGCAACCTATAATAGTATCTGAAATTTATACTGAATCTGGTCAAACTTGTCAGCATATGCAGTCACAGGATGAACTAGGACTTTAGAACTCAGAATGGGTGCCTAAAATGTACTTTAGTAACTGTATTTCAATGTACTGTCCTGCTAGACACACTTCCATATTTATGAATTTAGAGAACTTAGAGATTTATAATATTTTAGTTATTTAAACATAAAAATTGGTAAAAATAATTCTGAATCAAATGAAAGAATCTACATATAACTTGTTTCCTAGTATTATGTACATTTACCTTACCATTTTAATGCTATTAATTTCAGTGTTTAATATACTGCCTTGTATCTATAGATGTTTTAAAAGCAATTTTTGATTTGATTTGCTTATGATTTCATAGAACAAAAAAGAGCGCTTAAAGTGATTCTTCACTTTGGCATATTATTTTCTGCCCTTTAAAAATGGAGATTTATGTATTTGACAATTGCATAATTTTACATGATACTACTGTTGATGAAAACCAAGTTGGTCTCTCTGAAAAAAAAAACGGAAAAGCTATCTTCTTTAGCAATTAAAAATCAAGAGAATAAGGATTTTAATAAGCCTCTTGGGAGACTTGTCTTTTGTATCCTTGATAAATACATGATTATAAGAATGAATTATATGAGTAGCAATAATTTCCCAGTAATGTGATCATTAAAAGGGCTCCCAACTGCAATATATCAGTATTAATTGGGGACAGATGATCACTTTACTGACATGCTCAAGTCATTATCCATATTTCAATACTTCATGAATACCTGAATATTCTTAATGAAGTGATTATTTTTTGAAAGATTTTCAGTGCAACCCTTAATAGGATTGTTTACTTTAAAACTAGGAAAAAGTAAAAAGCAAAAACAGAATTAAGCATTGCTGATTAAGATTATTTGATAAAAGTGTTTTGGGAAAATGAGCCAAATACTAACTTTTCATTATTTTTGGGTGTATAATAACATTACAGCTATGCTATGCATTACCAATTTTGGTATTTAAGCAATATCAAACAGAATTGATGCCTGTGTCTTGAACAACTGATCCAAATTTTGGAACATAATTTGTTAATTTAAATTAATGTTAAAAATACAAAATAATGTACCCCCCAAATCCCTACAAGAATCTTGTATTTCCTAGTGATTATAACTCATATAATTTATTTAAGACCTGTGAGCATCTTTCTCCACCTGTGAAATTCAAGCTATTGAATTTCTGGTATTTGAAGGGATTTCAAAGCAAATCAAGTTTTCTTATATTTTCCTACTTTCTATAATTAATTGTGCATTTTCTAATTTTTAATATGATACAATAATCATATCCTATGATTAGGCTTGCCAAAATGTCAAAAGAAGTTTTTACTGCAGATTGAGTTCTGAAGGTTCAGTGAGTGCTTTCTTTATTCATAGATTATTTAATATTGAATATCTTAGTATAAATCCAAATTTTGGACAGATTATATTATGTTTCTTTCCTCTCACAAAACCAATAATGTTTATCTGCATTTTGCAAAGTTTGTATCCTCTCCATTGTGTTCTTTTGTAACTCTATGTTCTGGTTCTTTTCTTTGCTCTCTACTTTTTATCTGAAATTTTTAAATATCAAAATGTTGCATGTTCTCTTAGTTACAGTATTCATTTCTATTTCAATTACCATTCCCAGTCATCTTTTTTCCACATTCATTCATTCACAAATCTCAAAATGATGTTTTCCCTGTCTTGAGCTTCTGTCACCATTTTAAATGTTATAATTCTATCATCTCATTCAATCTTTACAAAACTTGTGGCTGTCCAGTGCTATTGTTTTTCTCTAATTTCAGATAAGCAGAGATACAGAAATGTTAAAGAACTTGTTGAAGGTCACACAGGAAACTGATGGAGCCAGGGCTTTTGGCCAAAGCAGTAGGACTCCAGTTGTTGTATTTGATGTGTTTTCAGTACCCTAAATTTAATGATTCTATTCTTTTTCAATAAATGTGATTTTTGCTAGCCAGTAATCCATTTTCTCAAGATAGTACAATTGTTATTTTCTCCCTTTTTATCCAAATCATTAAATTCTTTCACTTCTCATTCACACATGATTTTTATATCTAACCTCTCCATTCTCATCTTGACTGCTCTGATTTTGGACCTTATCATCTTTTATTTTGGTGATTGCACCAACAGCCTAGTATATGTCCTATGGCTTGTTCATTTGTTATTGAACAAATTAGGAACCCCTAAATCCAATCCTGAGTCTTCATTCTCAATTCCCATCTGCTTTGAAACAGGACCAGCTTTCATAATGGTCACATTCTTTTAAAAGTCTTCTGTCTGTGGAATTCTCTAGGCAAGACTACTGGAGTGCCTAGCTGTTCCCTTTTCCAGGGGATCTTCTCCATCCAGGGATCAATCCTTGGTCTCCCAGGGTTCAGGCAGATTCTTTACCATCTGAGCCATCAGTGAAGCCCAAGTAAACTGGAGTGGGCAGCCCATTCTGTCTCCAGGGCATCTTCCTGACCCAGGAGCTGAATGAGGGTCTCCTTCATTGCAGGCGGATTCTTTACCAGCTAAGCTACCAGGAAAGCCCTTCAAATTCTTACCCCAGCTTAACATTTCAGCTTACATCATGTCCTTAACATATCCCATGTGAAATTCTCCACATTCTGGAGACATTGTAGATGCTTTTTGTTCCTTGACCTGTAGTATTCAATTCTTTGAAAACTTACTGCAAAATGTACCAAAAATAATGTCTCTTTAATCAAGCCTGTTTCCAGTTTTCTCAGGCAGTCCATTTACCTATACTTTGCACTGTTTATTTATGGTTTCTTACACTTTTTCACAATGTTCTGCCTCCATTTCCATTTTATTCCTTGATAATTAGAACCTTAAGAGCAAAAATTCTGTTCATTTATTCACTCTATATATCATGTTTTTTGTCCCATTTCTGCCTTTGTATTTTTAATAACTGATATCATTTGATCTATGGAGAGTTACCAGTCTCTTCCTCTAGATGCCTCTTGTTTTGTGACACAACTGTTAACTTATAGTCTTTTTTTTTTTTTTTAATCTCTTCAGGTGATCTTCTGCCCTTGAGATTAAACTAGCAAGTACTATGAAGGTAAGCACTTTATCTCACTGATTTTGATTCCCTCTAGGGCCCTAGCATGTTGTTAGGTATTTAAGAAGCACAGAATAATTATCTCTAAAATAATGTTTCTAAAACCAGCCAAAATCTGGTTTAACAGATTGTTCATGATCTTCATAATTTAGGTTCTGTTCAGTTCAGACGCTCAGTCGTGTCCAACTCTTTCCAACCCCATGGACTGCAGCACAACAGGCTTCCCTGTCCATCACGAACTCCTGGAGCTTACTCAAACTCACGTCCATTGAGTCGGTGATGCCATCCAACCATATCATCTTCTGTCATCCCCTTGTCCTCCCGCCTTCAATCTTTCCCAGCTTCAGGGTCTTTTCAAATGAGTCAGCTCTTCGCATCAGGTGGCCGAAGTATTGGAGTTTCAGCTTCAGCATCAGTCCTCCCAAAGAATATTCCGTGCTGATTTCCTTTAGAATGGACTGGCTGTAAGCCCAAAGGCAGTCCAAAGGTCTCTCAAGAGTCTTCTCCAACACCACATTTCAAAAGCAACAATACTTCAGTGCCAATATTTCTTCATAGTCCAACTCTCACATCTATACATGACTACTGGAAAAACTATAACTTTAACTAGATGGACCTTTGTTGGCAAAGTAATGTCTCTGCTTTTTAATATGCTGTCTAGGTTGGTCATAACTTTTCTTCCAAGGAGCAAGCGTCTTTTAATTTCATGGCTGCAGTCACCATCTGCAGTGATTTTGGAGCCCAAAAGAATAAAGCCTGACACTGTTTGCATTGTTTCCCCATTTATTTGAAGTGATCGGACCAGGTGCCATGATCTTAGTTTTTTGAATGCTAAGCTTTAAGCCAACTTTTTCACTCTCTCCTTTCACTTTCATCAAGAGTCTCTTTAGTTCTTCTTCACTTTCTGCCATAAGGATGGTATCATCTGCATATCTGAGGTTACTGATATTTCTCCCAGCAATCTTGATTCCAGCTTAGCGTTTGTTATAAACCGTTCCGTCACCAACAAGAATTCTAATTATTTTCCCTGATGAATCCTGCATTTCAATCAAACTGCATTTTTATGTACAAGTTAACTTATTATTGATCAAACACATATAAAACTGGCCATTCAGTTCAGTTCAGTTCAGTTTAGTCGCTCAGTCTGTCCGACTCTTTGCGACCCCATGAATCGCAGCATGCCAGGCCTCCCTGTCCATCACCAACTCCCAGACATTAGAGTTATCTTTAATAAAAAATGGCTAGTGTTACCATATTGAGCTGAAATAATTCCTACTAAAAGAAGACAAAGAAAGAATGAAGTATTTAGTTGTTTTATGGTATCCTTTTAGAGGTAAATACATAATTTCCATTGAGCATCATTTTATTTTAAATAGAACTTTTCCAATAACTTCTCAGACTAATGGCGCTGAAATTAGGACAAGGCATCAAGGAAATGCTGGTCAATGGTCATATTTTTAAATTAAATTGTTTCCTCAGGAAAAGCAATATGTTGTTATTGGCCTATTTCTACTTCTTTTAGTTTTTGTTGTTGTTGTTGTTGTTGTTAAAATATAAGTAACCCTAGACAAAATGTGTGAATGTGTATGTGTGTGTATGTGTGTGTTTAATACAAAAGATTTTATTAAAATAATTAATACAAAAGGGGCATTCAAAACTTTTTGTTTCTATTCAGATTGTGATTAGCTAGTGAGAAACAGAAGAATGACTCAAAAAGGGACTATATCCCTAAAGGCCCTGAATCAAGGCACAGAGGCAGTACCATCGGGGTGACAGATATGGGACACTGGAGGACTGAAAACTAATATCAGAACACTGGTATGACATTGAAAATTCTACTGTAATTTTTTTAATGCATATTTAAATTTTTTTTAACAGAAAAAATTGGGAAGATGTTAAAGAGATTCCCATATAGCTCACACATAGTTCCCCCTATCATTGACAACTTATCTAATTATGTCACATTCTTATAATTAATGAATCAATATTAGTACATTATGGGCTTCCTTTGTGGCTCAGCGAGTAAAGAATCTGCCTGCAATGGGGGAGATCTGGGTTCAATCCTTGGGTTGGGAAGATCCCCTGGAGAAGAGAAAGGCTGTTACTCCAGTATTCTGGCCTGGAAAATTCCACAGACTATAAAGTCCATGAGGTTGTAAAGAGTCAGACAACTTTCACTTTCATTTCACTTTCACATGAATGCATAATGTCTATTTTTTTTTTTCCACATTTCCCTAAGTTTGACCTCAAATCCTTTTTCTTTTCCAGGATCTCATCAAGGATACCACATTACATGTAGAAATTGTATCTCCTTAGGTTTCTCTTTGCTATAACAGTTTCTCAGATTTTCTTTGTTTTTGATGATCTTGACAATTTTGTGATGTACTGATAAAGTTTTTGTCCCTCAGTTGGGACATTTGTGACTTTTTTTTTTTAAATATTAGACTAGTATTACATATATTTGAGAGGAAGGTTACAGAGATAAAGTGCCCTTCACATCATACCAATGGTACATACTATCAATATAGTAATTTGCTCATGAATTTGACCTTGGTCTCCTGCTGAGCTGGGCAAGTGTCTGTCAGGCTATTTCACTGTAAAGTTATTCTTCCCATGTCTCCTCCACCCACATACTTCAGACTCATTTTTAGAAGGAAACCACTGTGTGCAGTTCACAATTAAGACTGGGAGCTATGCTTCACTTCCTTGAGGTTAAAATATCCACATGAAAGATTTGAAATACTTTTTCATAGGATATTTGTCTGGTAAACATCATTTATGTATACAAATTGCTTATGTGTATCAGTGTAGACTCATGAATATTTATTTCATGCTTTGTGTGAAAATCTAATGCTATTTTATTTATTTTGTTGATCAAATTGGGTTGACCATTAGGAGCTCTTTATCCAGCTCTTTTGTCCCTTGGGCATATACCTATCATTGTGTGCACATTAGTTTTGTTTTAAACTCTTCTTTACTTTGGCACTACTTGATATTCCAGAATTGTCTATTTTATATCTGTCTTATATTTTATACTATATGCAATTTTTTGAAAAAGTTCTGGTTCCTTTATTGGAAAATAGTATTAGATACCACAAAATAAACATGGGTGTGCTTACTGTGACTCAGATCCCAGTCATTTAGATTACAGAGCAAGGAAATACATGTATGTATACTAACCCTTGTGTGTGTGTGTGTGTATATACCTGCTTGTCTGTCTGATCTATCTAGATATTTCTGTAGGTAACCAACTGCATTTACATTAAGCTAAAAATAAGTTAATGTGACTCAAATCTATTACCATGTGTATCATTGCAGTCTCCACCCCTTCTTCACATGTTTCTCTCAGTAAGAAACCCTACTTCAACCATCCATTCTGGTATACATATAATGTACAAAAGTAACCAAACTGTTAACTCACACTCTTGTGGGATACTACCTTATCAGCTAGAGTACGATGCTTAAGTGCAGTTTATTTTGATTTTATCTCATAGACTCGGCATAACATATTAACCTTTTGTCCTGTGTCTTGCTATACTGACTCATTAATTTCAAGAGTGTTGTTTTTCCTTCCTTTTTTTCTTTCTCTCTTTTATTTAGTCTAACCTTTTTTTTTTTTTTTTTTTGGATATCCAGATTGTGGAATTACTAGCAAGCATATTCAGTAGGATGTGCTGATTCTCATTCCAGGATTCAGAATGAGAGTAATTCTTTTGGCATTTGAAACTTGCAAGGAAANGAAGCTCTGATACTTTGGCCACCTGAAGTGAAGAATTGAGTTATTTGAGAAGATCCTGATGCTGAAAAGATTGAAGGCAGGAGGAGAAGGGGATAACAGATGTTGAAATGGTTGGATGGCATCACTGACTTGATGGACATGAGTTTGAACTAACTCCAGGTGTTGGTGATGAACAGGGAAGCCTGACATGCTGCAGTCCATGGGGTAACAGAGTCCGACATGACTGAGTGACTGAACCGAACTGAATCCTTTGATAGTCTTTTCCCTTACAGAGTAACACTTTGGTAATGAAAATTATCTGGGCATATTTCACGATGGTTTTGAGGTGGTGGTCTATCCAGTGATCACAGTTCTTTGATAGTTCAAGAAATTATATTGATTTGCAGTTTGTTCAATTTTTCTCTTGCTCAAAGGATGAAAGTGATAACTACAGAGCTCTTTACACATTGAAGGTGAAACCAGAAATCTTAAATATTTTAAGTAAGAAAAAAACCTCAAAATGAAATTTGCTCCTTCAGCTTTAAGCTTGTTTTTATTTTTCCTTTCAATGATGTAATTATCAAGTAACAAATGCCTTCCAAGCATGTCTCCCATTATTTTTGGAGCACTTTCAGCTTAATATCTCCCCACATCATGAACATTTGAAACTGCTGGCATCATGTAGTTGGATGGATCTGGTACTCTCTACAGAAAAATGTCACTGAACAGTGTTAGAAGTATATACCATTCTCTGAAAAATAATTTTACTTCAACTTTTCATTATTGAAATTGCATTCTGTTCTCCAGAAAAGTCATTCATTAACAGTCATTGGTAAAATTTATTTTTCAAATGCGGAAATCCAGGACTGCAAGTCTTATTCTTGATTTTATATAATCAATGCACAAATGCATAAATATAAATAAAAGTGAAGTGGTACTTTTCAGATAATAGATCTGAGAGAATTATGAGCATGACATCACCAATCTTATTTGAAGATAAAGTCTGCCTACATGACACTCACAACTAACTAGAATTCATGAAGGATATTAAAAAAGATCATTAACCACTTACACACTTAAAAGAAAAAGAAAAGTATTACCAGAAAAGACATTCACAAAGCATTGCTGAAAGTCAAAGTAAGCCTTATTTTTCAGAATATGGATAAAATCATATTTCAATTTTAATAGTGTATTATTTTTCTATTGCTATATAACAGAATGCCACAAATTTAACAGTTTAAACCACACACATTTATTATCTCACAGAATCTGTGTATCAGAATTCAGAGCACATGTTGTCTGGTGTGTTACAAGGTCCTACAGTGCTGCAATCAAAGTGTTAGCTGGGCTACCTGGATTTCTGGGAAATCAAGGTTCTCTTTAAAAGTCACAGGTTGTTATTTTGGCTCCTTTTGGACTGAGGGGGTCCTCATTCTTTTACTTACGGGTACTCTCAGTTCCTAGAGGACACAAGAAGTCCTATGCCATACCATTCCTCCATAGGCTCTTTAAAAGTGCTCAAAATGTTATGAGGATATACCCAATGAGGTCATGCCAACCCAGAATGATCTCCAGTTATATTTAATCAAAGTCAACTCATTTGAGATATGAAGTGCATCTACAAATCCTTTCTCTTATATGAAGTAACATAGTTATGAGTTAGAGATCCCATCAAATTCACAAGTTCTGCCCTCATTCAAGGGAAGGGATGACATAAGATGCATACAACAAAGGCAAGGATCTTAGGGACCATTTTAAAATTCTGCCTCTGTAAATAAGTTAGCATTATAATTTTTGTTCAGTTTGCATTTAATTATTTTTCTATCATTAAAGCAAGCAGAAATAATGAGTATGGAATAGCTACTTCCTATAATTTCATTTTAATTATTACAAGTATCATCTTAAATAAAATTGCGGCATAGTATATGATAGGTCATTGCTGTTTATTCCTGTCTTCCAACTTAAAATATAAGTAGCATCTTGCACTTAGAATAAACAAGATACTCTATATAAAGCAGCAAAATACTATACAAAATACAAAGAACTCACTCCACATTTCTTCCTCAAAAATTTTCCCATCCTCTTCCTTACTGTCAATTGCAGTTAAGAGACTGGTGCTTGATAAATATTGAATAGGCAAAGAATCTACTTCTTTTAATCTTACTCTTTGAGCAATCTTGTAACGTTAGATTCACTTTCTAATAAGTACTTCTTCCTGATGTAATTCCAGAAAATGTCTCACTGATTTAAATATTTCTGACAAGACATTTTACTACAGGAAGTGCAAAGTCATTGATAAAGTGAGCCAAGTGAGCAAGCCACAGTCACAGATCCTGAATCTGATATACAAAGAAGAGCTGGTCAAATATTGCATCACATTTGCCATCATTAAATTATTTTCAATAAAATATCTATTTTCAGCTCATAGATGTCATGCTGCTGTTCAAGCTGCTTTGGCTGTCATTTATGTGCATTTTAAGAATAAAATGAAAATGTATTGTTTAGAGTCAGAATTAGCAAACTCTTTCTTAAAAGGATCAGGTACTAAATATCTTTGGCTTTGTGGCCACATTTGGTCTCTTTTGCATTGCCTTCTTTGTTTTTGTTGGTTTTAATTTAAAAAAAAAGTTTTAAAATACAAAATAATTGTTGGCTCTCAGTTTGAATGAAAACAGGCTCTAATCCACAATTGACTTTCTGGTAGTAGCTTACTGATCCCGATTTAGAGGAATAAAATTATAAACTAAACATCTCCTCATGTTTGCTCCCTAGCCCCCACAGTCTATGAGAACTTGTGTGTGTGTGTGTGTTCGGTCGTGTCCAACTTTTTGCCACTCCATGGACTGTAGCCCACCAGGTTCTCAATCTGTGGGATTTTTCAGGCAAGAATACTGGATTGGGTTGCCATTTTCCTCTTCCAGGGGGTCTTCTGACCCAGGGATCAAACTCTTGTCTCATGTGTGTTCTGTATTATAAATGCTGAAGAATTCTTTACCTGCTGCACTGCCAAGGAAGTTTATGGCTTCCCTGGTGGTTCAGTGGCAAAGAATCTGCCTGCAATGCAGGAGCCACAGGTTCGATCCAAGACCAGGAAG